CTTCTCTTGGAGTCCAGTCTTTTGGATGACTTTCCCAAACCAGACAGGTCATCCAGAACTAGATACTGGCTCTGCTTGAAGTACTGAGTATCACCCAGACCCTTTGCCTGACCCACCAACAGACTGCCCTGCCTTAGTGACCAGCACCAGGGTAACTCAGATCCCCTCTAATAGTCATACTATAGAGCATTGGCCATCATAGAGGACATCTGTGTTTCTGGTTTAGGACACTGGAACTGAGCCTTTCTGAGTTCACCCTCAGCTTCATTAGATGTCTGCTCTGTAATCTTTCCTGGTCAAGTTATCTTGTCTTTCTGGGGTTCTATCACTATCTGTAAAACAGGCATTTTCATAGTATTTATGTCATAGAATCATTGTAATTATTAGATAAGGCAATGGATGTTCAGCTCGTAGCTTTGCCTGCCATATGGTAAACCCTTACGTATTTGTTGTTGTAGGGTTCTCTTCCTTGTCTCCCCTTCCTGGGTCTGTCTGTTGCATGTGGCAGTTGTATCTCCTTAGTTCATGAGTTGCTGTTACCTCTACTGCTATGGAATAAAAATATATTCGTGATTAGTGGTCCAGTAACGAAAACTGCCTGGTGTTGTTACTTGTGATGCATTATCTTAAATAGTGGCCCAGGCCCAGTGCTATCTCACAATGACTGTCACATGTACCACCCTCAGGCCACGATCCTGAATTAGAGCAGGTCATTCTGATCTGATATGTAACCCTGGCCTATCTTTGTCATTGTCCAATTTGACAGGCATGCCAGCTGTTCCTCTCGGGTTAGCCCTGTATGAGTGCCTCATTGAAACTGATGGTCAGGATGCAGAACTGGCCAAGCCAGTGCCATCCATCGCTGACAGAGTTTGGTGACGCCTCCTTAGGAAGAGCACCTCTTAGCAAAGTGTCCCCTCTCTTGGCCCCATCAGAGTCCACCACTTGAAATGCACTCTTTGAGATGTAAGGCGTTGTTCTCGAAGCCTCCCCTGTAAAATTCACATTTTTTCCATTCATCCTTTTATTCATCAACTTATTCAGTAAATGTATGTGTGAAGTGTGGAGACCTGGCTGATTGTTGGGAATTCAGTGTGAAAGAAGATAGGGTGCTTGCCCACAAGTAAGCTTATAGTTTTTTGGGTTTTTTTTGGGGGGGGCAGAAAAGTGTTTCAGTAAATGCTCCTTGGAGTGCTGAGTTAGAGGGATACATGTGATACTGTGAGATCCACAGAAGAGCCAAGCAAGTCAGACTGGAAGCCAGGAGGGCTTCATGGAGAAGGTGGGTTTTTGTTTTTGTTTTTGTTTTTTTGAGTTGGAGTCTCACTCTGTCACCCAGACTGGAGTGCAGTGGCCGCTCCCAGCCACCGCAGCCTCCACCTGCTGGGCTCCGGCGATCCTTCCACCTCAGCCTTCCGAGTAGCCGGATTTACAGGCATGCGCTACCACACCCGGCTGATTTTTGGATTTATTGTAGAGATGAAGTCTCACTGCCCAAGCGAGTCTTGAACCCGCAGGCTCAGGCAATCCACTCACCTCAGCCTCCCAAAGGCGCAGGATTACAGGCTGAGCCACCGAGCCTGGTGAGAAGGTGGTTTTTAAAGTGAACTTTGTGGGACGAATAAGAGACTAAGAAAATTATGAGATGAAAAGAGGTATAACAAACTGTTGGCTATAAATACCTTCTCCAAGTTCTCATCTTTACTTACTGTGCTCACAAACTTGAGAGCAAACAGCCTTGAAGCTTGAGCTACTTGTATGACTTCTTGCATGTTGTAGCATCAAGCCAGGTGATTCTCAGTGTTTGCCATTGGAAAGCTTCTCTGGGGCTTTAGACAGGTTTGGTTTTGGAGCAATGGACCTTTTCAAGTCAACTCTTTTCCTTTATAATAAAATGTCCAGGACATAGTCTTCCCTTCTCTGTTCTCTTTTTCCACGTTCACTTGCACTTTAACACTCTACCCTCCCCACCCCCCACCCCCCCACTCCTGACCTAAAGTGATCTTGTCATCACTTTTTCTCATACTTAGCATTTTTGTGAATTTTATCATGTCTGGCAACGTTTTCCTCAAATCTCTTGCTGGTCCTCCTCCCAGCTCCTGCGGGTTCTGGTCTTCATAGTCTCTCTAAGACAACTCCTCCATGACTCTTCCCTTTACTTTCCATTTCATTTCCTTGAACCTCCCATATTTGTAGTTCCGTTTCCTGCTTCCCTTTAAACAAGTTCACTCACTGCCAAAACTTAACTCACAGTTTGTCTCTACCCTTGACCTTTATCCAGAGACCTAGTTTTTTTCTTCTTTACCTGCTAAATATCTACAGCAGGATGTCTTATCAGGACTGAAGCATCAACTGTCTGAAAGCAGGTATGTCAGTGTCACCAGGAGCACTCCTCCATACTCCCACCCCCTGCATTCTCATTCTCTCAGTCACCCAGAGTTATCCTGCATTTGCCCACATGCTAGGGTGCTCACCCAGTTATGCATATGTTATCATGGAGCCTTTAACTTGTAGGTTAAGAGCAGCGTACCTGTCTCACTCATCTTCGCTTGCCACTTGGTGCCCAGGGCAGTGACTTACCCAAAGAAGATCCTCCCTGTTTGTTGAATGAATGGTTGTCAGGTGCTTTGATGCTTACTTACATTTCATGAACTATTTGTCATTGAACATATTTTCTCTTAATGCTTTTATTCTTGACCAGGTAAGTGTTAGGATAAAAAATTTCATACCCGCAACCTCAACTGTGGTACGTCTGCTCTCTTTCAGGAAATTAGTTAAGGATGCCTGGGTCTAGAAGCATTCATTTAACTTTCCTTCCTGAGACCCAGATACAATACATAGGATTATTATGTTTTCATGGCAATTTTAGATAACTTACATCTCCCTTTATACATTGATTTTTTTTTCTGCCTTTTTTCTTCTTTATTCTTAACAGGTTTTCAAAATGGGAAACTATCACAATGACATAAGGTGCTATTGATAGTACATCAATATGTTTCAGCAATGCCCCTGCCCAGCAGAGTGTGGCTGCTGCGTGTGCAGCCATGTAATACATATTAGTTACACAGACATAAGGAAGCCCTTCCCATCCATATGTATGTGCATGGCCTGTGGAAGTTAATGCCATATATCACATGCACATAGAATGTAAAACGTACTTCAGAGTGACAATGTGCTCATGTAAAATGAGTACTGACGCACCATTAAAGGAAACCAGAGAAAGATTTTTGTCCCGTCAGATAACGGAATTGTTGTCTGTTTTGTGTGTGTCAGCATCCTAGACCCTCATTCTGCCTTTTTTTTCTTTTCTTTTTTTTGGTCAATATATGCCCCTCTCTCCAGCCACCTTATTTCACTTCAGCCACAGGGATAACAAAAGAAACCCTGTGGAGAAATGAAAGATAGCAATTACACATTGGTATTCATGTTATGGGAGTCACACTGCCATCCTCAGGGAGTTTAACAATGAATATCCAACATTAATTGCCACAGTAACTGTGCGTCTGACCTTGCTGAAATGTAATACATGGGTCTTACATGGTAAAATTATTTGCCACTAAAAGATTAAAACAGAATGATCATAAAATAGTATTGCTGTTTAGGATGACCAATATTTTTTGTTTTTAAGAACATCCTGGAGGACTTAAATGATTAGCTCACTACATTTTCTTAGGAATCAGAAACCAGGAGATGAAATCACAATTTTCTCATTGATTTGGTTGGAAATTACGGCAAGATTAGTGCCTTCCTATCCTTATGAAAGATGAATAAAATACCTTGACATCCCTGATTGGTCTATTGAATTGATTAATAAGGCACAAGTCAATATGGTACTTTTTATCTATTGGGGGCGGGAATATCCTTCTCTTTTATGTTATATCTGATTATAGGTAGGATTTTCTGTCAGTAGCAGGTTCCTAGCACATGTTCTCTTTTTAAAAAGGTGACATCATTTTTAAGATGAAACCTACTGGCTATCAACTTTTCTTGCTTTAATATGTTTGCTTAAATCCTCAGAAATAGGAAGCTAGATTTTCTTACATGCATCTTACTGTCCTTTTTTCTGGGACTACCTTACACTTACTGGGTGTTGCACATTGGGAGAATTTCACACTAAGCCCTCTGGAAGTGTTCATGGCTCTGAGTCGGAGCCACCCTGCTGGGTCAGCAGCAAGCCGTCCTCTGTGACAGAGCCACGTCAGCGGGCCATACTCGCTCTGGGCTGTGGAAGCTGTGTTTGCAGAAATGAATGATGGTTCAGCCGTCTCTCTTTTTTAAAAGGGGACTGAGGTGAAGACAGTCAGTGCACTCACCCATGACATCCGAATCTCAGCCTAGATGAGATTCTAACTAGAGATCCATTTTTGCTTGTATTCTGGCAAAACGAGTGCATGATACATTTGAAGGCCATCATCTTAAGTCTGAAAAAAAAAATTAAACTGAGTGATTGAACGAGCAGTTTTTTTGCATGCCTTTTAAAGTAAGGCTGTGAAGTAGATGAATATGATATATGTCGACTCCAACTACTGACTATGATTACTCATTGTTTTCATGTTTAAATAATGTATGTTTTATATGATTTCCCAGTTTTAATAGAGTGTTTAATAAACATTAACTGGGTAAAAGATAATACAGGATCCGTGTAATTAGCACGCTGTGATTTTTGAAACTCTGAACCCTGTCATCTTTAACTCAGATTGTTGTGGTACTTTTCAAAATAAACTCTGAATCCCGCCTCCACTTTTTTTTCCCCTATTTTCTTTAAAGTATTTATGTCTCTCTAATGCTTTAAGTTTTCACAGAACTTGAGCCTGGATACTCTCCTGGGAAAGAGGGAGACTTTTGACCAGGCTCCTAATTTATTCTGAATCTTTAAAGAAATGAGGCTGTTAAGCAAACTCTAGAAAATGTAGCTTTCATTCGTTCCCTTTTGTTTTTCCTTTTTTGATTTTCTCTCCCTTTTTCCTCCTCTCCTCCATCACTCCCATCCACAATTCAAGCAAGATGATGAGGTGGCGACTGTTCAGGTGAAGGAGCAAGACCGGAGCGTCCTGGTGCTGAGGAAAGTGCAGGGCTGCGGCCCAGCCCCCACCGCGGGGAGTGCGGAGAGCCACTGGAGGTGAGAGTCGTCCTGCAGCCCAGGCACGCGCTCCGTTTCCTCTTGCCTGCCTGCCTCCCCTTCCCTCGCTCCATCTCGCTCGCTCTCTGTCTCCCCTACCCTCCCTCCCTCTCTCTCTTCTCCCCGCCTCCCTCTCCAGCGTTCTAGCTGACTGCAGAGCTCTCAGCAGCCAGATGGACTGAGTTCCCAGTGAAAGGACAGGGATGGCAAGATCTTGTAGCATTTAGGGGATGCCTTTGTTAGTTGCCGTCCACAATGGGCAGCTCCCGGCTGAGGGTCTTTGACCCTCATTTAGAGAGGAAAGATTCCGCGGCGCTCTCAGACCGAGAGCTGCCCTTGCCCACCTTCGATGTGCCTTATTTCAAATACATCGATGAGGAGGATGAGGACGATGGATGGAGCAGCCGGTCACAGTCCTCCACTGAGGATGACTCAGTGGACTCTCTGCTCTCTGACAGATACGTAGTGGTGTCCGGGACCCCCGAGAAGATCTTGGAGCACCTTTTGAATGACTTGCACCTGGAAGAAGTCCAGGACAAAGAAACAGGTAAGACTGGGAGTCTCTCCCGCTTGCAGACTTACAGCTGCTGATGCCCTTGTCAGTATCCTCAGGGGCAAGGTTCCCCAGGGTGAGCTGAAACCGGGGTGGGGGGAAGTAGCATATGCTTTGTGTGCCTCATCCTTTGCCTTGTGCTGTTTTGTTTAAATCCAGTAAATGGACACATGGAGCTCCCAAGCAGCTGCCTGGGAAGTAGCTGTACAAAGAAAAGATAGAAAGGCAGATGTTCTTGTTTCTTTGGCAATTTTTTTTTAACCAAATCTCACCTAAAGGCAGTTGGCAAGAGGCCAACATTCAGTAGCCCATGTTCAATGGAAAGAAATGCAAGAGGAGGAGGATTAGCAGGCGTTCACCTGGCATGGTGTTGAGCTGGGGGCGCAGCCTCCCTGCTGAACTGTCAACAATTAACACAACTACTCAGCAGCTCCATGCTGGGAGCAACTTCTGCCTTCTTCCAAGTGGTTTATAAACTGCCTGGTCAGAGCAAGCCCTGGGGTGCAGAATATGATACAGCTTTTCAGACCAGATACTGTCATTCCCTGGAGCCTCACTGATGAGGTTTCTTGTCCTTTTTATTTAACCTGAGAGCAAAATACTCACTTTGCTTTTTCATCCATGCACTTCTGGAAACATTACTATTCCACTTACAAAATGACTTGCCCATAACTTCCTTTATCACAGAAGGGAGAGCACTTGCTTCCCTTAACCAGGGTTTGTAATCTGTTCCAGGCTGGAGCAATTATTCCAATGAATAGGCCTCTGACTGTAGCCTGAATTTTGTAACTTGATCCTTTGACTAAAATACAATTTTCTCTCCTACCTTAGCACCTATGAGACCCAGTTTCCTTTGGCTTCGACCATGAATTAAGAAATGGCAGCTTAGGTGGAAACAAGAGTTTCCTTGTGTTCCGGGAGTTTTGTCTGAACATAAGTGATGTCTCGGTCTATAATGCATTAAAAAGGACAATAAGAGAAACAACAACGTGTGGAATATATGAACAGGTTTACAAAAAAAGTAGCAAAGTGACCCAATCATGTTTCCTACACCAATGTTATTGTTTGATCTTAAAATTCAGATAAATACCTTATTTTGCATGTGTTTGGAGAAAAAAGTAATAGCTGTCATGTAGACACACAAAATGATAAGCTAAAAGAAAATCATGTTCTCATAGCATTTGCTGGGTTGACTTTGCACATGAATATGTTGTGCATTTGAGCACTCTTCCCATGTTCTGCTTCATCAGATATAATCATCATGGAAGTGAGCATCACTTCCCATGTACTGATTGCTAGACTGCTTTACACAAGTGGTTTGTGCTAGAATGCAAGCGAGTTGTCTGTCATGAAAAGAACACTTTAAACGTGGTAGAGGTTTGGAAGAGTTGAATGCTTTCTTCTTCTTAGTAATGCCACAATTCTGTTCTATAATGCAAAACTTTGTGTCTAGGTCACATTAATAAGCATAGTACATTTTAAAACCCCACTAGGCCTAGCTTGATTTCTTTTTTCTTTCTAATTGTCATTAGTGTGAGTGCTCTTCACTTTTGAGAAAAACGACTCAGGTGCTCGCTAACAAGTTCCCACGACTTCACACTGAAAATGACAAATCGCTCTTATTATTGTAGCTAATGCAGAAGTTGCCTCCTGTTGGGAAATACTGATGTGCATGGTGTCTAGTGACTTATTCCTGGTTTCTTCTCAGTCTTACAAACCCTAGGATCAAATCTATCACTTCAGCCATGTGCTCGCAGAGCAAAGAGGACCGGGACTCAGTGGCTTGACTCCAGGACAGTGCCAACCTCTGTGGAGCGGTAGGGGGTCTGTCCAGTCAGCCTCTTCTGATTCCCGCTCATTTCCTTGGAATTTCAGGGGAGGACACATGACACCCTCATGGTGCAGGGACATTTGAGGGGAAAAAAGTGCTAACAACCTTTTTTTCTGTCAAAGGAGAATTTCATGAAAATGTCAACTTTGGAGAAAGGGCTTGATGTGAATATGAGAGAGAACCTAAGTGAAAATCGCGTGGAGCTCTTCAAAATTTCAAGTACAGCACTTGGAGAAAAGACAACAGAAAAGCTGCCATGTGGTTTTTGCTAATAAAATTAAAAGAAATATAAAAACAAAGTAAAGTAAATTTTGTGTGCAGACTGAAGAAAAGTGAATTTTAATATCTTGAATACTAAATGAATCAGATATTTAAAGTATCAAAGCCTCTGGTCACCAACAGAAGTGAACACTAGTTCTTAATCTTGGTCAGGTGGGCTGCCCTCATTAGCAAAGGCCTGTGTGAGCAGGAGCCTGATAGAGCTGCACGAACCATATGGAGGACAGATGGAGGAAAATGAGTAGGGGCTGCAATAAAAGTACACAGCAGCATTTTTATGTTCTTGAGCGCCCCTTTTAGGGAGATGGAGCCATCTGGGGCCGCGCAGAGCCATATGGTGGCCCTCCGCATGGCCCCGAGAGCAGTGGGGAGGAAAGGGAACATGGGGGGATGTCAGTGGTCCCGAAGGCTGGGATGAGCCTGTTCTGGATTCTTACATTCCTGGACCCACCAGAGGCTGGGAAAGATAGCCGAGCAAGAGATGTAGGGTAGTTTTCCTTCTGTTTCCCACCAAAATCACTTCCTGGTGAAAATACAGGTGCAATGCCCAGTTGAGGAGGCTTCCTGTACCCACACAGAACAGGTTGAAGTGATGACTGATCTATGTTCACGTCCAAGCAGATGAAGTTTACTGAACTGATAGCAAGAGGAAGGTCAGGGCTGTTGAGGGAAGGCATTTCTGTTGCAGCTGGACTTCAGAATAGAGTGGAAAACAACTAACATTTCATGTGGTATTCTAGCACCAAATCAAGCTGAGTTTCTAAAGCAAAAATAATTTTTAGAGACCTTAAAAGCAACCTACTAATGATGTTCCAAAATGAATGTATGCACACACACCTATTGGACTTATTTTCATAATCTCCTATGTGCCTACCCTTCCTCCTTGGTAGTGTCAGGCACAAGCAGTCATCCAGCAATATCTGTGGAATGAAGGAATGCACAAATGAAGGAGCGAATGAATGAATTTGAAACCCTTAAATAGAACTTGAGTGGGAAATGCTGACTGGGAACCAGTAAACCAGCCAGGCATCTGGGTCTTCCTTTGCAGCCAGCCCTGAAATGTTCATTACTCCATGACAATCTCCCTTTTGTTTAATAAATTAGCAGTAACACTCCCTAATAGCAAGCAGCAGCAAAATTCCTTATAATCTACACATTTTTCAACATTGTTTAAAATAGAAAAACTATGAGCCTGGGAACTATATATTTATTTGTGAACAGGGAAGTAACTGAAGCTGGTTTCAAAGATTTGCTTTTTTTTCCTCAAGGTTCGGGTTCTGACTTGAAATATTTTGAAATGGTACAGGAGAATTAAGCAGTACCTGCAGCTCTTTCATCTTTTATCTTCCCAGAAATAGGGCAGGCATCCCTAGGCATGAGATGTTCATGAGAGAATTACCAGGAAGGCTGTGAGTAGAGCAGGAGAAGGGACAGAGGAGCAAGGGAGACCCAGTCTTCTGTCCTGCTCTCTTGTGGATCTTCCCCCTCCCTACCCCCGTGGCTGCCCCTATTTAACCCTCTCCCTTCCCTGGACAGAATAAAGTATGTTTTGCTTACTGACGTTTCTGCAGGGAATAAAGATTTCTGTTTCAAAGCAGGGAGGAAGCTGTGGATTATATAGAGGAAAACTTTCTTATTGATTTTTATTTCTGGATCTGTGTTATGATGGGTGTACCTTAGGGAAAACACAGGAGGAGATATGTTATTGCCCATGTCCTTATTTCCATTGCCTTATTCTTTATTCATCTTGTTGAAGAAAATGCACATAGGATGACCAGTTTCTTAGAAAAACAAGCAAAAAAGAGAATAGGATAGTAGGAGTAGGTAAAACCTTCCAGCTGATTCTCATTAGGCCTGACCTGATTTCTTTAAGGTATGGCTGCTGCTTTTTTTTTTTTTTTTGGACTTCATGAGGTTATCATTCAGTATATTCTCTAAACATTCCTCCATGTGGAAATGTCTATGCAGCCTGCCTTGAGTATTTCAGGGATGCCTCGGGTTGGTGGTTTAGTAGGTTAAGCATGTGACTGAGGAAGTGAGTCCCTTACCGTTCTAAAGAGGCACTGCCCTCTGTGAAAGTGCCTGCTTTAGATTAGAGGAGTGTCTCACTCAGTCCATCTATAGATCCAAAATTTCTGATTGTCAGCCTAGTGGCTTTTTTGGAGCGTTGCAAGGGCAAAACGTTCAATAAAGCTAGGGCAGGAATCTCATTTTCTATTAATGTTTTGGGGGTTTTTAGGGGTTTTTTTTTTTGACTTGTTGTTTGTTTTTTAGATAAAAGTTACTCTTTGTTGCCCAGGCTGGTCTTGAACTCCTGTGCTCAAGCAATCCTCCCGCCTCAGCTTCCCAAAGTGCTAGGATTAGAGTCATGAGCCACCACGCCCAGCCTATACAAATTTTATCTTTTTTTCTGTCAGTACCAAGCTCATCATAAGCCCTTGATATGAAATTTTTGTGGAAGAAAATTAATGCTTTTCTTTTTCTAGACAAGCTAGGTGAACTCCTTCCTCGTTTACCTTGTGTTTTAGGATCTTGGGAACTATGCCAGGTGCCTGTGTTCCAGGCTTTTTCTCCTGAGTCACCCAGGCCTTAATAACCCTGTAGCAGTATGACTTTTGCAGGACTAGAACTTTTTTTTTTTTGCGTTGGAGTCTCACTCCATCACCCAAGCTGAAGTGCCGTGGCATACTCACAGCTACTCCAGCGTCGACCTGCTGGGCTCCGGCGATCCTTCCACTTCAGCCTTCCAAGTAGCTGGAATTACAAGCGTGTGCTACTATGCCCGGCTAATTTTTTATTTATTGTAGAGAAGAGGTCTCGCCAAATTGCCTGGGCTGATCTGGAACCCGCTGGCTCAGGCAATCCACTCGCCTTGGTCTCCCAA